TGTGAAAATTATCTGATTCAAAGTCTCATTGTATTAATTCCTAGTGGTATACAGTACACTCAAACTAGAGGTACAGTTGAAATACAATAAACTACACGTGCTATACATAAAGAGTGCAATATGAAAAACTTTGGCATGTGTACACCTATGAAACTATCATCACAATCATGAGAACAGAGCTTTAGACCACCGTCAAAACTTCCCAGTGCTCTTTTGTTATCCATTTTTTCCTTTGTCATCTTCCCTGGGCAACCCCAGATTCACTTTCTGTCACTGCAGATTGGTTTGCATTTTCTAGAATTTTATATAAATGGATGCATGCAGTTTGTAGACATTTTGTTTTCTTCCATTCATCGTAATTGTTTTAAAGTCCATTTATGTTGTTATGCACCAATAATTCATTCTGTGTCAGGACAGAGTAGTAATCTATTGTGTGACTATACCACAGTTGCTTGGTTTACCCGTTGACCTGTTCTTGGACATTTGAGTCATTTCTGCTTTTTAACTATTAAAATAAAGCTGTTATGAAAATTTTTATAAGTTTTTGTTGGGATAAGTTTTCATTTCTTTAGGATGAATGTCCAGAGTGCAAAGACTCTACTGGTATGAATAGCTTTAACTTTAGAAAAGTACCAAAATGTTTCTATAATGGATGTACCATTCTATTACTTTCTCACCACCATTGCATCAAAACTGTAGTTGCTCCACATCCTTGTCAATATTCAGTGTGCTCAGAATTTTTTCCTTTTTTGACAGGCAGAGTTAGACAGTGAGAGAGAGACAGAGAGAAAGGTCTTCGTTTTCTGTTGGTTCACCCCCCAAATGGCTGCTATGGCCGTGCGCTGTGCCGATCAGAAGCCAGGAGCCAGGTGCTTCCTCCTGGTCTCCCATGCGGGTGCAGGGCCCAAGCACTTGGGCCATCCTCCACTGCCTTACCGGGCCACAGCAGGGAGCTGGCCTGGAAGAGGAACAACCGGTACAGAATCCAGTGCCCCAACCGGGACTAGAACCCAGAGTGCCAGCGCTGCAGGTGGAGGATTCGCCTAGTGAGCCGCAGCGCCGGCCTGTGCTCAGAATTTTTATAATCCATTCTAATATGTATATAGTGATATCCTCATGGTGGTTTTAGTTTGAATTTTCCTGGAAACTAATAGTGCTAAGCATATTTTCACTTGCTTATTGCCATTCCTGTAACTTTTGTTGTGAAGTGTATCTTCAAACCTTTTTCCCATCTTAAAAACTGTATTTCAATTCTTTATTAATCTGCTCACATTTTGCTTCTTGTGAGGCTACAAAATAGGTTTTTCTTAGATGAAAAATTAAATACATGTTTGTGAGGCTGCAAATATATCATTCATTTGGTCACATCTCTATCCCTGTTTACTCTTCAAACACAGTTTCTCATGGTACCCATCTATCCATTTGAAACTTAGATATTATGACATTGCACTTATATTTCTCTCATAGCTAGATTTTTGGAAAAAAACAGACCTATAATAAATTTGGTTGAACTTTATCTTCTCTAGGGAATATGTAGTATTTTAGGTAACAAGTTGTGTGTGCAAGTCTAAAAATTCAACCACGTAAGGGGCATTGTAAGTGCTTTATAGATAATGCATCCTATGGGAATTTTGAGCACCACCAAGACTTTTATGTATTTAAGGAAATATTTCTTTTTTATTTTTTAAAGATTTATTTATTTATTTATTTGACAGGTAGAGTTACAGACAGAGAGAGAGAGAGAGAGAGAGAGAGAAAGGTCTTCCCTCCGTTGTTTCACTCCCCAAATGGCATGCTGTGCTGATCCAAAACCAGGAGCCAGGCGCTTCCTCCTGGTCTCCCATATGGGTGCAGGGCCCAAGCACTTGGGCCATCCTCCACTGCCTTCCCGGGCCACAGCACAGAGCTGGACTGGAAGAGGAGCAACTGGGACTAGAACCCAGCACCCATATGGGATGCCGGCACCGCAGGTGGAGGATTAGCCAAGTGAGTCAGGGCACCAGGCCCAGGAAATGTTTCATAATGGTAACATTGTTTTCAATAAAATGAATTGAGGCAATTTAATCAACTTTACTGACTATAAATAAGTGAAATATTTTTCTTTTTCTTTTTACTTCATTTTTGGCTTTGCCACTTTAATTAAAAGAGCAACTCAATTCACAATATCTAAGATATGGAATCAACCCATATGTCCATCAACTGATGACTGGATGAAGAAATTGTGATACACACACACACACACACATACACAAATGGAATACTACTCAGCCATAAAAAGAATGAAGTTCTGTCTTTTGCAACAAAATGGATGCAACTGGAAACCATTATACTTAGTGAAATAAGCCAGTCCCCACAAGATAAATACCATGTTTTCCCTGATCTGTGGTAACTAACAGAGTACTAAAAAATGTAATGTATGAGAGTGAAATTGACATTTTGAGATTCGATGTTTTACAGCACTTGTTTCTTGTTGAGGAACAGTGTTTTTTTTCTTCATACTGTTTGTTGAACTGTTAGTGTAGGGTTAATCTTATGAGTATCAAGTAAACTGAAAATAGATTATCGTAAAAATTAAGAGTAGGAATAAGAGAGGGAGGAGGAAGAAGGATGGTAGCATGGGCAGGAGGGAGGGCAGGGTGAGAAATATCATTATGCTCCTTAATCTCTATATATGAAATTTGTTCACCTTAAATTTAAAAAAAAATAAAAAGAAAATAAATGATAATGAAAGAGCAACTAACAACATAGTTGGCTTATTACTTTTTTTTCTGAATTGTTAACTTTTTCTGTGCCCTAAATCCATGGGAAATAAATGGAGGCAATTCAGAGCAAAAGCTTTGTTTCCTGTCCTTCCAAACAGAATTAGAGCTGGTATGCTAAAATATGTGATAATGCCAAGATAAGTTGGCATCCTTACTGTTCTCCTTTTTGCTGGATTCCCATTGACTTCATAGAAATCTCCAGGGCAGAAGTTTTCCAAGGAGGCTCCTTACATGAGCAACAGAAGCCTTACCTGGAAACTCACTCAAAATGCAAATACTCTGAACCTCCTCCAAACTTGCTAATAAATCAGAAACAGAAAGTAAGGCTGAAGGGCAGTGATGAGGGTGGGGCACATCAATGTATGTGAGCCCTCAGGGGATTCTTAAGCAGGAAAGTTTGAGAACCACTGATCTAGGGGAATGAGGAGATTGGAAATATAGGCCTATAGAAAATTCCTCTCTTACAGTTTCAAGCTGACAGGCTCATTACCAGGTCGCTGGAGCAACAACTGCACAGTACTATTGGATAATGAAACATTGTGAAATTAAGAGGCATGAATATTAACTGATCACAATATTCTAGATCGCTAAATTTATATTGGGCAAAATGGAATTTTACTTTTAGCCTTATGGCAAGGAGAAGCATGATTTGATAAGGTTTTATATTTCATAAGTGGAAGCCATGCCTTTTTTAAAAGCATCACTCCTTTGGAGTTTAGACAAATTACTAGAAAAGTAGAATTATTCCTAAAGACATTTATCACAGAAATCATTAAGTAACATACTCAGCAGTGCCCTGAAACAGTTGGTTTTCAAATGATTTTCCTACTTTAGAATATTTGCCAATGACATCTAATTCACAAAGCACAGCACTAGGCACCTAATGGCTATTAAATAAGCATTAAGAATTAATTTGTTAAAGTCTTATTTGTCAGTTGTATGTCACAAAGCTAGTTAATTAAAAATACATTCATATTCTATACTCTTTAATGAAGTTCTGCCTAAGAGCCGGAACTTTCTGTATTTGAAGAATTAAACTCATGTTACGTTTTGCATTTTATTGATATGTGCTAAGGATTAGATGTATTCAGTTAAGCTTCTTCCTGACCAAATGACATACCCTGTCGACTCTGATGTCAGTCTGAGAAAATCCTATATAGTGTACTACATCTCCGGATTACCTTATCTAAGTATTACATGGACATTTCAGATGATATGTCTTGGCATGTGGTCATTTTTCATTAACTTATTAGGGATTGTTAAAGCATCTTTCCCCCTTTTTGACACCTCACTATAATTGGATGTAAAATTGCCTGTAAGACTGAATGGCTGATATTCATGTAGTAAGCTGATGGAGCTTCATTGGTGTCCCACAGATACTGTGCCCAGATGGTGTCTTAGACAAATGGGCTCTGTTGTGATCTGATGTCGGCTATGGACAAGTAACATCTAGTCTCTGGAATTTATTTTCTTCGAGTGGGCAAAGAGGGGATTTGTTACATCATCTTTCAGATGTTGAACATTTCATAATTCTAAGATTTCGAGGGAGCTGAAAGGAAAATCCAAACCATAAAGCACTGCCAAGATATAATACATGACTGAATATTTTCTATGTATTTGTTGAAAGCATGAATTAAGCAGAATAATCAGCATAAGGTAGACTCTAAACTCCTTTGGAGATGATGGGAAATAATATTAAGTATTCATAATTTTAGAGTTTAAATTAATGTGTTTTGGAAGTTATTTTGGAAACATGTATTTGAACTTAATATCTTTTTCTCAGTTTTCACACTGAATTATTTATTCTTAACTCCAATGTGTATGATATTCTAGAAAAGTGAATAATTTTAATATTTTAAGTATAGGTGTGCTGCACAGATCATGCACATTCTTCCTAGAAGAGAAATATCTTTTAAAGGACAGCTCTCTGTACTTAATACTCTTCCACACTCACTTATTTCGTTACATTTTGTTCACCTAAAATTATAGCTATAAAGCTATTTTGGGCATGCTTTTTCCAAAACCTTATAAGAATCAACAGGAACATAATTTTAAGCTGCAGAAGTGCAAAGTAAGCAACAAATCCTAGCTACTGTAAATAAAAGGCCAGAATTCTAACTTTTTAAAGAGCATATAATTTCTAGCAATGGGGGAGGAGGGCATGGGGACAAAAAGTAGAATTTTATTGGATATTTCCTCATACTTCTACATTTTTCTCTGACTTTTGTTTCTTCTCAGAGATGGAATTTTGTGAAACGCCTCATACTCTATGCTCTGGATACCAGACAGACATGCACAGTGTTTCTCGGCATGGCTACCAGCTAGAGATGGGATCTGATGTGGATACGGAGACAGAAGGTGCAGCCTCACCTGATCATGCATTGAGAATGTGGATAAGGGGAATGAAATCAGAGCATAGTTCCTGTTTGTCCAGCCGGGCCAACTCTGCATTATCCTTGACTGACACTGACCATGAAAGGAAGTCTGATGGGGAAAATGGTAATAAAACTATCTTTTCTATTTACTTAAGTAAAACAGAGAGACAATATACTCTTTAGCCTTTGCTTTGGCATCCTTCCCTGAATCTACTCATCTTTCATTTAAAATGCAGGATGAAAATACAAATTATCAGGATATCCTTGAACAAGGCATATACTGGCAAATAGACATTTATTTATAATGGTAGACAAAATATTTTTCATTTCTCATGAACCAAGGGAAATAATCCCAGGTAGTCAGCAATAATATGTACATCTTATTTATTACTCACCTTTTATTTTCATCCTTATTTTCCAGTGAAATCCTAATGGCCTTCATTATAGAAAGTACTCATTTCACGCATTTTGGCTTTACATCAATGTATGAACAAAGAGATGAATAATTGTATGGCAAGAATGCATTATATGTGCTTTCTATTTTGATTCAGTTTGACCTGTGCAGTGTACAGATTCAAATTAACCACTTTAGTCTGTGAGGATTTTTAAAAAACAAACCATGAGCTAATATCGATTTGCCAGACAATAGGTACTAACAACAGTGCCATTATGTTATAATTATACATTATTTTCCTGCAACTTTTGGAAAAGGAAAAGTTTTGTCTCTTTGATTTGTTGGGGAAAGGTTAATTTATTTTATATCTGCTCTTCTGTCCATACTAGCGAACACAACCTTTTCATAAAAAGCACATTAATGCTTACTAAACACATGAATGCAGGCTCTCTATCATTCTGTTTGTCTAAATTTCATAGGTCCCCAACACTGTGACCACAGGCCTAGTCTGTCAGCAATGGCTGATTAGTATTTTTTCATGTGGTAGAGAGTTAGCCAACTGCTCTATACCTACAGCTTTTTCTATTCCATCCTCTCCGGCATCCCTCAGCCCAAAGGAGAAACTGAACACAAGGATATATCAAATTGAGTAGTTGCCTACTAATTATAATATCACTTCCTAAATTGTAATTCATAAAACTTCATAATATCAAAAAGTATCCTTTGGGTCTTTTTTCTTTACATTATTTTCAAGAATGTACAATGTGTTGCTGGCTTTGTTAAAAAATGTAGGAGATAAAGTATGGAAATGAGAAGGGAATATATGTATATATGTTGTATATATATGTATATATTCTTGTATGTGAAAGATCATTAGGATGGAAGTTAGGAGAATTTGGCATTTGACCACTAGAATGTTCTGGGCTTCAACTATCAATCAGGAAAAACAGTGACCAAAATTACATGAAATTCACTGGTAAGAGATCTGCATTTCCAGAACATATTATCTCTCTCCTTTGTTTTAAAGATTTATTTTATTTATTTATTTATTTATTTATTTTATTTGAAAGAGTTATAGAGAGAGGTAGAGACAGAGAGCAATGTCTTCCATCCGCTGGTTCAATCCCCAGATGACCACAACCATCGGAGCTATGCTGATCTGAAGCCAGGAGCCAGGAACTTCTTCCCGGTCTCCCATGCGGGTACAGGGGCCCAAGCACTTGGGCCATCTTATACTGCTTTCCCAGGCCATAGCAGAGAGCTGGATCGGAAGAGGAGCAGCCGGGATTTAGAACCGGCACCCATATGGGATGCCAGCACTTCAGGCCAGGGCTTTAACCCACTATAGCACAGCACCGGCCCCATCTCTCTCTCTTTTTTTTAAAAAGATTTATTTATTTACTTTGAAAGTCAGAGTTACATAGAGAGAGAAGGAGAGGCGAAGAGAGAGAGAGAGAGAGGGAGAGAGGGAGAGAGGTCTTCCATTTGCTGGTTCACTCCTCAATTGGCCACAATGGCCAGAGCTGCGCTGATCCAAAGCCAGGGCTTCCTCCAGGTCCTCCCATGTGGGTGTAGGGGCCCAAGGGCTTGAGCCATCTTCTGCTGCTTCCCCAAGCCATAGCAGAGAGCTGGATCAGAAGTGGAGCAGCTGGGTCTCGAACCAGTGCCCATATGTGATGCTGGCACTGCAGGTGGTGGCTTTACCCACTATGCCACAGCATTGCTCCTATTATCTCTTGATATTGGAATGTAGAGCAAATTCACTGGGTGGAAACATCAAAGTAAGTCCCCACACACACTGGGTTCTGCCAGTATTTTATCCTTACAACACCTTTGGAATGAGTTTTCTTTTGGGGTGATGAAAATATTCTAGATAACTCTAGATAGTAGTTAATGGATGCACAACTCTGAAAATAAAGATAGTCATGAAACAGTATGCTTTAAAAGGATGAATATTATTATATATGAGTAATATTTCAATAAAGCTGTTAATGTTAAAATTTGAGGAATCCAAGATTCTTTAGACAAGGACTAATTAGGAAAATGTTGCTTTTACAGGTTTTAAATTCTCTCCTGTTTGCTGTGACATGGAACCTCAAGCTGGATCTACTCAAGGCAAGTGTTTCCAAATATTTGGCTACAAATTATTTTTATCTTACCACAAAGTAGAATCAATCCACAAAGTAGAATCCCACCGTTCTGACAACCAACACGTGGGCCTGGTCAATGAACCTGTCAGAGATCACTTACTCCACTGGCTTATTATTTTATTGCTTTCCTCAAGAAAACTTCTTTGTGAATATTGGTGAAAAATAGGTAAAGGGGGAACTGGGACAAGACAATGGGAAATGCAATGGGAAAACACTGATTTGCCATGGAGACAGACTTGGAAATCAAGTTGAGTTGGGTTTGGCTTCCTGACTTCCTTGATAGCTACCTTTCTTTTCATTGCATGGCTCTAACAATTAATTCAGTGTAGTTCACATAGTATCATAAGTTTCCCATGCCACCTAGCATATGGTCTTGGTCTTTTCCTGCAGGTGCTCCTGACTTGGCCTTAGAATCGCATTTTATCCATGTCATGAATTATCAGTAATGCCATCAAATGAAAAAATTTCATTCTTTTTATAAACCTGCATTTAGACTGCGTGGTTCCTCAGTGATGGAGAGTGATTTTAAAGATGCTTACAATTCTCTCTATTCTAGAAGAACACTGTATGACTTAGGTTTCCTAATTATATTTCCAAAATTATGTCTGTAAGGAATTGTTCCTTTAATTTCATTAATTGATCAAACCTGTCAGAATATTTGCTTTTTTTTTCTCATTCCATCATCTCTATTTGGTTACTTTTAATTGAATTTAGGTTTCTGACAAGTTATAACCCAAGCAGAATGATAATAAATAACTCTGAAATTCAGCCCTGAAACACTTGGACTGAAAGTATTGACATATAATGGAGAGCATCAGGTAACACAAGGAGATTTGGATTTCTAGGGCATCACAGGGATAGCATTCATCAGCACACTAATGCATTATGTTTCTCTTCCTTCCCATTTGTCTTAAGTAGTTCTGTGTCATCCACAAGTATTGGTGCTTAATTATCTGTTAGAAAAATGCAAATTCACTCAAATTAACCTCTTCCTGGGATCTTTGACCAGTTGACACCTGGGTAACACTTTGAAAACAAGCAACACAGTTTATTCATTCTACTGCTTCATGTTTTACCTTACTAAGAACATTACCATTCTTCACAGGCTAATGCTAGACTTATATATTTTCTGTTCTCAAGATAATTTGTTATTGAACACTAGACTGGAAGCTGCCTGGGGACGGGGCCTGGATTATTATTAAATTGTTATAGCTTCAATACTTAGCCACAGGATCTGGAGGATAATAAGCAGTAAATAAACGAGAACTACATTGCTCTGTGGGGAAAATTAAATGGAGAGGTAATATATTTTGAGGGATCTTCTCTGATCTTGTGAGATTTTGATAAGGATAGAAATGCTACCAGGGTCAGACCTTTGATCATCTAGCACACGTCTCTGACAAGAGATCCATGGGCATATCTTAGGAGGACTTGACAGTTCTATTTGTATATTAACCTCAGTGATTAGGGTATCCATCAATAATTACATTTGTCTTTACATTGGTCTAAAGGACAAAACTGTATCAACAACTAATATTGAAAAACCAATTTTCAAGAAAGTATTTTTCACATATGGCCTGAATGAAAACGTTGAATTATAAAACATGAAAATGAAAGTGTTTACCAAGAAGCTAAATGAAGAGAAATAGGAAGAGAAAAAGAATTTGTAACCTTTAACTAATAAAGTATAAATGGCAAATAAATTATTCATAAAGTCTTGATGATAGTGATATTTTTGTTCAGGCAATATTTATTGACCACCTACTCTTTGCCAAACTCTGCATTAGATACTGAGGATATATGAAAGGTGAATAATACACAATAACCAACCTCGAAGTTTTTTTTTTACCGTTTCAAATAAGAATTATTTTATTCAGATTTATGGGACTAGTGATAACTTTTCATTGAAAAGCCAATTTAATTCCTTAGTAAATTTTTTTGTTGTTTTTAAGAGGAATGTCTTTTTTTAACTTTTATTTAATAAATATAAATTTCCAAAGTGCAACTTTTGTATTATAGCAGATTTTCCCCCCATAACCTCCCTCCCACCCGCAACTATCTCTTCTCCCACTCCCTCTCCCATCCCATTCTTTATCAAGATTCATTTTCAATTATCTTTATATACAGAAGATCTATTTAGTTTATACTAAGTAAATATTTCAACAGTTTGCACCCACACAGAAACACAAAGTATAAAGTACTGTTTGAGTACTAGTTGAAGTTTCTTTTTTAAAGATTTTATTTATTTATTTGAGAGGTAGAGTTACAAACAGTGATAGGGAAAGACGGAGAGAGAAGTCTTCCATCCATTGGTTCACTCCCCAAATAGCCACAACAGCCAGAGCTGCACCTATCCAAAACCAGAAGCCAGGAGCTTCTTCCAGGTCTCCCACGTGGGTGCAAGGGCCCAAGCACTTGGTCCATCTTCTACTCTTTCCCAGGCCACAGCAGAGAGCTGGATTGCAAGAGCAGCAGCTGGGACTAGAACCGGCACCCATATGGGATGCCGGCGCTGCAGGCGGAAGATTAACCTACTGTGCCACAACGCCAGCCCCAACTCGAAGTTTATAGTCTAGTAGGAGAGATTGATGCACTGCTAATTAAGCTGGCTTATTACAGGCAAAAGAAACCAAACTTAGCATAAACAAAAAACCCAAATTTATTAAAAGGAGATAAGAAAGTTTCATGGGACACAGGACAAGAATTGTAGACCCCACAATGAAACTAAAGCAAACAAAAATTGCCAAGACTTCGTGTTTTGCTTCTGAACACATTTCCTGCAGCCCTGTCCCTGAAGATTGACTATTCTCCAAATCACCACCCACAAGACAGGCGTAAAACTCTATAGAGCTCCCCAGTTTATATTTGTTCTGTGCAGGAAAGAAGCTGATATGAACAAGATGTTTTAGTACTATTACTAAAGTCTAAGCAAACAGAATAATTTTCCCACCTTGAGTTAGATGTCTACCAATGGTACCATCAGCTACCATCAAGGGGTAAGATCAGTAATACACATGTTGCTTTCTGGAAGCCTACTCTTTTGATTATTTTTTAAAAAAAGATTTATTTATTTAAAAGGCAGAGTTACAGAAGGTAGTGAAGAACATCATGATAGAAAATGTGTAGTTTTCTCTGAGAGCACATGGGATGTCAAACCATTTGTTAAAGTAAAAATGATTATATTGAGTTGGAAGCATACCAGGGGATTCCAATTCAATCCCATCGAGGTGGCATGTACCAATGCCATCTCACTGTTCCAGGTGATCAGTTTCAGTTCACAGTTGGTCATGGTGAAGGGACTGGGAGTCAAAGGGAGCACATAGACAAGTCTAGTACCTGCTAACGCTAACTGATGGAGTAAATAAAGGGGAGAGTGATCCAACATGGGAAGTGAGAATCTCAGCAGACTCATAGAATTGCAGATGTCCTAAATAGCACTCTGGCCTCAGAATCAGCCATAAAGGCATTCGGAGCTGGCTGAAAAGCTCATGAGAGTATTTCAGGCATGGAAAGCCAAGACACTCTGGCAAAAGATCTCTGCGAGTGAGATCCCAGTGGAAAGAACAGGCCATCAAAGAAGGAGGTACCTTTCTCTGAAGGGAGGAGAGAACCTCCACTTTGACCATGAGCTTGTCTAAACAAGATAAGAGTCGGAGAACTCAGAGGGCTTCCATAGCCTTGGAAACTCATGACTGGAGCATAGGGAGATTACTGATGCCATAGACAGGAGTGTCAATTGGTAAAGTCAACAACAGGAGTCACTGTGCACTTACTCCTCATGTAGGATCTCTATCCTTAATGTGCAGTACATTGAGATTTAATGCTATAACGAGTACTCAAACAATATATTTCACTTTGTGTTTCTATGGGGGTGCAAACTGTTGAAATCCTTACTTAATGCATACTAAACTGATCCTCTGTAAAAAAAAAAAAAAGAAATTATCAATTCCCAACTTGACTCTCACTGGGATTAAACATGACAATAGGTCTGCTCTGATTTCATCATCATTTTAAAAAATCATCTATTATTTTTCACTTTATGTTTCTGTGTGGGAGCAAACTGTTGAAATCCATACTTAATGTATACTAAGCTGATCTTCTGTATATTAAGATAATCGAAAATGAATCTTGATGTGAATGGAAGGGGAGAGGGAGTGGGAAAGGGGAGGGTTGTGGGTGGGAGGGACGGTATGGGGGGAAAGCCATTGTAATCCATAAGTCGTACTTTGGAAATTTATACGCATTAAATAAAAGTTAAAAAAAAATAAAATTAAAAAAAAATGATTATATTAATGCAATCAAAATAAACAATGTTTTCTGTACAGTGATTGGTTAAGAACAGCAATGGTATAAGATAGACCCAAGTTTGTGCCCTAGTTTTGCCATTTACCTGCTATGTGTCCTTGGACAAGTAGCTGAAGCTCTACAATTCAGTTGGTTTTTCTGTCAAATGGAAATATTACCTACTTCAAAGTTTTGGGGGCTCTTTTTGGTGAGGACTAGATGAGAAAATATATACTAATATAGCAATTCATGGTGTATCTCTGTCATACTAAAATGCTCAATAAATGTATTTGCACATATTGTGGGGTAGATTCTATAGAGTGAAGTCTGTGTCATCAAGGATTAGGCAGGCATGCATTGTGGCTACTGAAACTTCAGGTGCCCTGGGGAGCTCCCTAGCCTGGAAGAGCTTTGTCTACTTTCTGTTCAATATTTAAGAATAATTCAATTTGTCTCATTTCTAGTAATATACCATTTCAATAGTGACATTTCTTGTTCTGCTAAGCATAGAGGATTTTGAAGATGTTCACTGAAGCCCTTCAGACCTGGCTTGAACTATTATATTTCCTATGGTCATTGTAGTAGCAGTTTAAAGTGGTTCTAGGATTGCTTTATTTTAAATTTATATAAAGGAAACAATTTTTATGTATATCATATATACAGTTCTAAGAGCACAATGAT